ATTCATTCTTCTTTGCTAGACTTCGCTCACGACTGACAGGCTGCTCGCCATGTTCGATGTGTTCCAAGAGATCGATCGATCTCCGCTCGCCTGGACGACATTCAAATCTCGACCCGGGGAAGCGAAATGAACGCCATTCTGATTTGCAGGGTGAAATGGCCCTTCATGCGCCAGGCTGAGGGGCCGCGAGAGTAGAGGGACAGCAAGGACGACAGCACAGGGCCGCCAGTCAAGTCTTGGCACGCCACGGCGCGGGAGCGCAGGAGCAGCGAGAGAGCGGCAAGGAACGCGAGCAGCCAAGGTCCTCTGCAGCTCGCCTGCAGGCCAAGCCTTCTCATCCGCCATATGCCTCTTCAACTCTCTTAATGAGCCTTTTGAAACTGGATTTGAGACCGATGTTGATTGGATTGGCCTTGGGCTGGTGTGAAGTGCTTGGCCTCGCCGCTTTTGCCCCTGCTGCTCGTCAGCAGATTGGGAGAGGAGCAAGTCATGCAAATTCTGCTTTGGCACTGCCTTGGAAGGACTCAACTGTCAGCAGCAGCAGCCAAGACCGAGCGTCCCATTGCAAGCTAGCGGTAAGCGCGCGCTCGGCATCGGTCTCGATCCTTCAGCACAGCTCCAGCCCGAAGCGTGCGTCACTGCCAAGCCAGCAGATGGGTTCGTGCATGTCTGTCTTGTCTTCGTGCTGCTGTTCTCATCTTGCTAGACAATTCAAAGGGAGGCTGACCACCTTTACAGTAGTGGTAGTGAGTATCGTTGCTGTGGCCATGGAAGCCGTTTCGGAGGAGAGGTGAAGCGCGTCTGCTCTGGCGATTCCCCGAATGGTACCCTCGAAATCGTTTTCAGCATCCGGAGAGCACGAACAAAAGTCTTGGCTAGCTACTCGTACTCATGATCGCGCCCAGGTCTTCATGCTCAGCAGCCTTGACCTCTTCTCGCCTAGCCCTAGCGCAGAAAGAGCCGCCCTGCTCATTCAGCTCGAGAGTGCAAGGGTATGTGCTTGGTCTTGACAAACAGGTGCCAAACGCGCCAAGCGGGATGATAGTGACCTGATCATGCACGGATAGCTCTCGTCGTGCAACTTGACAGACATCCACCTCCCCAGCTTACGCACAATCAGCACCTCGAAAACCCTTGGGGCTCGAGCAACCAAAGCATAGCATACGACTTCACAGGCTACATATACCCTCTCATCTGCTTGCTCCATAGCCCGTGCACTCAAACTTAGCTCTCCTCGCAAGAACTTATGAACTTGAGACGCCACTCACACAAGACAGTTGCAGAGGACAGAATGTATGCGTCGAGGTGACCATCAGCCACCAATACAGGCTCCTCGCGTCAAGGCACGAAATCAACACATCCCGGACGTAGCGGAACGGCGACCGCTTGTTCACGTCCAGCACGCTGCCAACCCATCTTGCAACAAACATTTCGACGAATACCGCAAGCATGACTCTAAACACGGCCACGTTGCTCCACAAACGCACGCTCAATCGTCGGTGCTGGTGGGACCAACAAGGTGTCCGCAGGTGTGAGGGCCTTCCTGTCGGTGCTATCGTTGCCATTGGTGGGTGCTCGAGGCCGCTGCACTCATGCTGGTCTTGGTCAACCTTTACTTACCAGCAGCGCTCTCTTGCGATCATACGCAGCATTGGCCATAGTCCTGATAGTCAGCGCTGCGCTCACACTGGCGTGTCGGACTCAAATACGAAGAACTTGCTGTGGCCATCGGAGCAAACCAAAA